ATGACTGCATGGCGCTGCAGTCATTCCCCCACAAACACAAATCCTGCTCTTGAAAAACATCCATATCTAAAAGGCTTCTTCAGGCCCGCAGCTACATGAAGAAGAATGATTTGTATCACTTAGCTGAACACTTTATAAGTGCATTAAATCATATTTTCAAATTTGTTTACATTTATTGATGCTTTCATTGAACAAACTGTGGAGAAAATAATAAATATCACAGTTCCGACAAGTTTTTTTTTGGCTTTTAAACATCATTAATTGGAATTTATAGCAATGACAATAAATCTAAATAATTTTCATGATAAGAATTGTATTTCAATAAATGATACAATATGATGAATGCCAAATTTTCCTTGATCCTCTGTTTTAAAATCTATATTCATCCATAAAAGCACCTTACATACAGGTCATAAATGCCATAGAAATATGAAAGCCTATCAAATATGGAGTCTTTACAGTGTTATTTTGCACATATTGATACTGTGATGCTGCGTCAGGATACAGTTCAGCTGTAATCTGTGTGAAGATTTCTAAAGGAAATCAAGCAGAGTGTATGTGTATGTTCTTCCTCTTGTCTTTCCTGAGTTGAAGAAGCCTGGACTGAGCTATTTAGGTAAAACATACTCACTGTTTGAAATCTTCTTATCTAAACTCTTAGAAAAAAAACAGAAACAAATAATCCTTTTTTTCAAAGTAAAAAGCTCGTCTTTATGCTTTTCTGTCTCTTGACGCTGGAGAGCCCTCAAGCTCCTCAATTTCCCTCTGTTGTCTCACTCCTCTTTCCCCTCCCTTCTTTTTCACACAGTCCCGGTTTCCCACCTCGTTTTGCCACCCAGCCGCCTCTGCATACCCTTATCCATCCATCCTTCCCTCTCTGTCGGCGCTCCCTCCCTGCCTCCTCTCGTTTGATATCCCAGTCAGCCTTCTACCTCTGTGTTCTCTCACCTTGTTGCCGGCTATAGGGAGGGTGTAAATTGTGTTGCTTTAAATACCCGTGTCTTCCTCTGGCTTACAGCTTTGGTTGGAGATGAAGAAGTGGGATGTGAGGAAAGAATAAAAGGAGCTGGTGTTGAACTCGGCGTCTGCAAAGGATGGAGAGGTTGCGCCTTTTTATTTTTGCAGCTTGAGTGTTTAGCCAGACTTAACCATTTAAACTGCAGCTGAACTTCCTTCCACTCCTTTAATTCCTGCTGTTTGGGATCCTCAAATAACCAGAACAGCTGTATTTATATCCAGGGCTTACCGGGGTCAGATTCTAGTGGCGAGCAACTCTTTTAAGATTTCTGTGAACTATTTTGCTACATATGGGTTGGGTGCAACCCTTTGCACTTATACTTCCTAAACTTTTTAACTTAAAAATCAGTGTCTAACTCAATCTTGTTAAATCCACCCATCTCATCTCATAGGTAATGGCTCAAGTCCATTTAAAATATTGTTCAGAGTTTGATAAATTATCCTAATGTGGTTTCATTCTACCCACATCGTGCTGCAGCTTAATTAAGCCAGAATTTATCTTTGATTAATTCTGACTGTTAGAGCTAACAAAGTTACCATCCTCATATGGTGACTAACTTCCAAATGATTTGTATGCATTAACAGACCTTCGGATTTAATATGCAGAGGGCCGTTTCATCATCATTAAATTGTTTCAGGTTTTATGAGTCCTTTGAGGAAGATTAACCTTTTATTTATTAGCGTACATTAATTGAAATAAAGTCAGTCTGACAGGCTGCAAGTCTGATCTTTGGGTGATGACTATAGCTGAAGTTGGTAAAAGTTGAATACTTTGTTTAATATGCTGCTGTTAAAGTATGAGATGCAGTCTTTGCTTTCAGATTTTTTGCTTCTTCAACTTTTAACCCATTTTCAGATCAAATAGACTTTAAAAATATTTTGAACTTTAACACTGTTTGAAACTACAAGCCCGAAATAAATTTGTAAAGGAATTTTCCTCTGCTTTTGACAAAAACATGTTTTTTTTTTCCTCTGAATTTTCACAAATATTTACTGAAAAAAAAGCATAAACTGTGATAAGTTCACATCCAAATTGAGAGAATATGTTGACAGGAGAACTCTTAGTCATGCAAACACACAAATCGAGCTTTTACAGTAAAGTGACAAAAATAAAAGCATTGTTTAAAAAATACTTTGAACCATTTGGTTCACAGATTATGTTGGAAACAACAAACTAGTGGAACGATGCGCACTGGTCAAATAAAGTCAAAATGTAGCGTTTTGGTTTCCATGGAAACAAATGCTGCATGTCCTGAATACACCAACCCCTTGGTGAATCATGGTGATGGCACCATCATGCTGTGGTGATATTTTTTTTATTCAGCAGATGCAGATGGTCAGAGTTGCTGGAAAGATTAATGGATGAAGAAATCTGTTGGCTGCAAAAGATTTGGAATGGCCCAGTCAAAGTCCAGACTTGAATTCAATTGAAAACTGCCTCCTGTGAATACCTAGAATCTGTGAATACTGGAGGCCTCATTTAAAAATGTTTATAACTACATTTTAATAGTTCAAATACCAAATATACCTTAAAATGTGTTAATACCCACATTTTTCCCCCAGATATTTCAGATATGACCCTCAAAATCTGTGATTGGGCAAATTCTTGAATACTGAACTGGGATTGGCTGAGGGTCCATTGTAATGTCCATAGATGCTTTCCATCCAGTCTGACTAATTTTGTCTTTTAATAAAAAGAAGAATGGGAGACAGTTTCAGTCTCTGGATGGGAAACGCTGGTGAGGACAAACTCTAAAAGATGTGAAGCTGCAACTGCAGGAATATGTGTTTTTTTTTTCTAAATGTCAACTCAAATGTTAGTGAATACCAATGCATACCACAAAGTTTGATTTCTGTTTGTAGAAAAAAGGTCAAGCGATGTATAATTTTCACTAGAATTCACTGAAGTTTGTGATTGCAATGTGAAAAAGTGTGGAAAAGTTCAAGGAATAATTTTGCAAGGCACTGTTGTAATATCAGAGCATAAGTTAAAAAAAAACACTATAACAAAAAAAATATGTAAATTTGATTTAATGATCTAAAGCTGAATGTCCTCTTATGATCATTAGAGCCATTTGGAGGATATTCCTCTCTAATGTGTCCTCTTGTTAAAGTGTCCCTAATGGCTGTTTTGGTTCAGACAAATGTCACACACAGGTTATTCTGAGAGAAACAGTCAGCAGCTACCAAAGGCGCAACATAAGTTTGGGCAATTTGTCGGAGCTCATTGTGGCTGGCTTGATGACTGATGCCTTGGGACAGCCAATTTGCTCAAAGTGTTCATGCCAAGTTGAGAAGCTCATGCGATCAGCCACAAGAATTAGACCAGGATGCTATTAAAGGAGACACTAATCCACAGGGCACTTGACCACAAATTCAGGCCACAGCCCTCACGCTGCTTCAATAAACTTACCACAAGGTCACAGCTGCATTAAAACGGCGGCGACTTCCTGACATGTGGGGCTCCTGGTGTCTAAGTCTTCTGAATCCTGCTGGCAAGCGGCAGCGATACCTGACGTTCTCACCTGTTATCACACTCAGTCCTCACCGCCCAGAGCGACGCTAAAGTTTTTTTACTCTTCTAATAATTGATGTGTTCTGATGCTGAACTCATCTTCCATCTTTAAAAGATAGCCAAAGTTCCTGCAGGCATCTCCCTGCTCATGTTCTGCAAATGTGTGTTTTTGATGCTACATGCACTCGGGTTTTCTCACCTCCTCTTCTGCATCCGCACTTCATGAGCCCCTCCCCATCCTCTTTCATGTCTTGATGGGAGTTCTGCCCAAGCACATTTAAGCAGATGTTCATCCTCTGAAAAAAAAAAAAAAAATTCAATTCCACCAGCCGTGCACGGATGTGATAACACCCCACGCTCCATATAAACCTGTCTCCCGCTTGACAATTTGGTTCCAATTAAACTATTTATACACGCTGTATTTAAGGGGTGAGAAGACCGCTCGAGGCGTATCCTCTTATGAGATGCTCCCTCTTTTGACTTGGTCTTTTTTCTTCACTCATGCTATTATTTTTTTGTTTTGCCCGAGCACCATTGCAATTTGAAGTGCGTAACGTGTGCGAGTACGGACGGCTGCACTCAAGGCCTCAATACCTCAACTTGGGAAAAGGTGCATCAGTGACTGTGTTCGTCATTACTCACTATAAATGGGAGCCTGCATATTTTACTAACATCTTTTGCTCTGATTCACAAAATCATTTGCCACGCTCGCTAAACGCAGTGTAGAATTAGCCTGTACCATCAACCGTTATCAAGGGAGCACTGTTAAATACCATAATTTAAGCCTATTTGAATACTGTTACACACCCCAATGGTTCACTCATCAGTAGTTTTCCCGTTTCAGCTCCAGCCCTCAGAATCCCTTCATTATGAGGGGGTCATTTGTATTCTCAATCTTGTCTCCTCCGACCTGCTAATTTCCATAGCGTTTGAGCCCGTTGTGCAGCTCTGATGCTTATGCACGCCTTTAGAAAACTTGAAGCAGATATCAATGAAAAGGGATAAAAATACAGCAGCAGTATGAGTCGGCTCTGTCGTTGTTTGTTTGACATGAGGAGAGGTAATGTCCGCCACAGTCTTTCCATCTTTGAAAGTCCCTCGGGTCGTGCAGGTTCTGGGCACCACTGACTCATTGCTCCTACATTGGCCTCGCAGACATACAACCAGATAACCATTTGTCAGCTTTTTTTGTCCCTCTGACAAGATGTCAGTGTGCGCACACATTGTGTCTGTGCTCTCAGAAAGACAGATAGAGATGTATAGATAATCTGACAAGCAGAGAAAGACATGGGCGGTGGGAGACGTAGACAAAGAAAAGGGAGGGAGGCGAGTAACGCGGTTTGAGGGTTTATCTGATTTGGGTGGCGCTGCGTGATGCTGGTTTTGATTGTGTTTACGTAGAAGTTCACTGTTGCATCTCGCCTTACTGTCTTTTGTGACATTTCTCTTCCTTTCTGCTTTTACCTAGATGAAGACCCGCTGCAGCCCATGACCTCGGATGAGACGGTGTCCGTTGGCGGCATGGTGACGTTGACCTGCCGAGTGGCAGAGACTGACAACTCCTCGCTGCAGTGGTCCAACACCGCGCAGCAGACTCTGTACTTCGGAGAGAAGAGAGGTGAGAGACACTTTGTTCAGCTAAAGAAAGTTTAAAGAGAAACATCTTGAATGCAGTGACAACAACAGGCGATCACTGCTAACTGCATTTTAGCAGCCAACGTTTGCTTTGACTTTGATTTATCCAACATGACTAAGAAAAACAGGTTTTCGCCTAACACAATGAGGTCGATCTGTTCATCATTACATCACTACAACAGATTTGTGCTGCCTCTTGTGTCTCAAACAAATGGCTACCTTTGTTTTAGCAGCAGCAATCACGTAATGTAACAAGCCAGATGGATTGTTACTACAGAGGACCAGCTGGGAAGATGATGCTCAGAAGTTGTTTGAGAATGCTTAGCGCTTTCAAAATGAAATTGACTGTTTATTGGATGGATAAATGTGTCCTTCACTTCTTACCGTGGGGAAACATCCGTCAGTCATGGATCCAGTTGGAAAGCAAGTTTTGAGAAAGAGGAATAAATAAATGTATTATTTTATGGATACTCTCTAGTTCATGTAGAAGTCAAATTTTATTACAGGTCTGGATGAGCCTGGTAAAATATTTGCATTTAAAGACCTTACTTCCTAAATTCCTAAGAATAAGTTGCTCCAGTCAAAGTAATTCCTCTAATTTTATAAAATTATTCATTCGTCTGTCCAAAAATTCATACTTCTACAGTACAGATTTGCATTTCTGTCCTTTCAACCAAAGGACAGTGGAATGTGAGTGTAAAATATCTTCCTATTATCTGCTACACTTCATATCTGCTGATAACTGTCACTATTGAAAGCTGATTGGAGAGAAACTTCTGTATTTTAGCTCCAAAACATAACATTGGTTGGAATGTGGAAGCTATGACGTTGCTAAAATATGATTAGAGAAACACATTTTTGCACTTAGAAAGATGATTTTCTTTTTTTCACTTAAAGATGCCTCTAAATCACGGCCTGAAATGTAAATGTAAATCTCCTTTTTGTGAACACTGGATGTGTTTGGGCTTGTTTTTAAAGTTGCGACTGATGTAAGACGCATGAAGCAGCGACTCTGCTAATCTAAAACATTGCAAAGTAAAAGAAAACATCACACTCTTGTGCTACTTCTGTACAAATCTAATTTTCACCCAACGACTTGCAATTAAGACGCTTGTTTCTGCACTGATGTTGAACAAGGCACCAACAATCACTTTGAACATAAAGGGGTCAGAAGCTTTGTTGATGCAAAAAAACAAAAATAAAAATAAAAAAACTTTTCAAACAAAGACCTTGGGCAGCCGAGAAAGCAAACAGGACGGTTTTGTATTATTGCTGGAGAGCCAAAAGCGCTCGATAAAGGCAACAAAAGAAAGCACAAGACACAGAAAAACAAGGAGTCTGATGAATTAAAGTGCATCAATGTGTCCAATTATAAGAGCCGTGCCTAAAGATTAACTGTCTCAGCTCTATGATAAAACGCTGTGTGCAAGCTGGGCGCTTAAAAAGGAGGTGATCTGTTTATGGGCTCCTTTATTTGACACGGGAGCAGTATTGATAGCAAAACAAACAAAAAGACTGAAAAAATTTGAATAAAAGTCTTGCATTGCTCTGCTTCACACAACAGACTCAGTAAGTTTGAATGAAACGAGGAGAGAGCTTCACAGATGGATGGAAGATGTGTTTGGATTGTTGGTGAATTAGAAATAGAGAACATGGTGGAGATAGGAAGACTTTCTCTTGCTCTAATTTAGCACTTCACAAAAGAAGCCAAACAATCACAGGGACAAAGTTGAGAATAGTTGGGATGGATCTGACTGCAGACTGAGGAAGTTTTCCCCACAGTGCCAACACTGTTGCAACAGACAATTTGGAAAACAGAGAGAAAATGTGAGTGTGTGTGTGTGTGTGTATGTGTGTGTGTGTGCGCTGGGGTGTGGGGCCAAGTTGAAGGACCAGCAAGTTGTTACTCCTTCTGCAAAACGAAAGAGGAACTCTTCTCACTCTGATGCAAAACTTCAAGTTGGTTTCCTGCTTTGAGGTGAATTGAGAGGAGGATTTGAGGAGAAGGTGGACATCAGGGAAATGAACACAAGAAAGAGGAAAGAGGGATGTCCCTTCCAAACAGCCTCGTCCTGCTGCAGCACATCAACTTACAGCATTTTCTGTACTCTGAGAAATAGAGCTGAGAAAAACGAGAAGGGGAAGCAGCAACAAAAGAACAAAAAAGTTTCCTGTAGTAAAAACTTTTCGCCAGGGCCGTTCTGCTTGTTTTGAGTTTCAAACTTCACCATCTTCTCCACTTGGCCAAAGACTCGTGCTTGGTGGCAAACTGAATATATGTATATATATATATTTTAAAGATGTGAAAAGTCCAGGAGAATCAGACACATCAAAGAGGCTTAAATAAAAAGATTTTCAGCTCCAAAAACCTAAGTCATGATGGAGTAACAAGTGGAACTGAACATTCCTCTTTGCTCCACTTTCGGAAATGATAAATTGAGATGAAGCAGCGAGTCATCGCCGCTGGCCCGAGCAGTGGAGTCCAGACACCTTGTCTCATAGCTGAGACAGCAGGACACAGAGGAGGCAAGAGTATAAAGGATACACCAGAGCTGGAATGAAAAGGAAAGATAATAAAAGACTTGATTGAAGAGGGGCTGAAGAAGAGAAGGAGATGGGAAATGGGAAAAATCAGAACTCCTTGCTGTCTCGTTCCAGCACAGCCCAGCGTGCGCCGGGCTTTGGAGCGGAGGGGAAGTAATAAGTGGACGAACAGTGTGTGGAGAGATAGCAGAACAAAATGATGAGGGGAACTTCTTCACAGTGACGCTCTAGTAAAGGAACTAAGAAACGAGTAATCATGAACTGAAGGAGGGTTGATCATTTTATCATAACAAGTAGCTGGATTAAAAAAAAAAAACTTAAAATAATCTTCATGTGAATATTAACCAGGCTATGTCATTAAACTGAGCTTAACAAGAGAACAAAGGGAAAAAAAAGAAGGAGCATCTAAAAACCGGGAAGATATTAAAGAGAAGAAGGGGAAGAAAAAGACCTTGGATTTATCTGATAATAAAAACGCACTATTCCCTCAAATGATGTGAAATATGATGAAATATCTTCACCCGTGCCGTGATATATGAAATGTTGATCTTGCTGGCATAATCACAGGGCCACATCGATTCAATCTAGTTCTCGGCGGCGGGGCAAAGCCCCCACGACTTTTATCAGCCAAACAAAGCCTTTGATATCAGTTGAATTTAACCCTGCTTTTCACCAGACGAGAGGTGGCTCAGAGAGAGAGAGAGGAGGGAACAGTATGTGGCCACTTTTAAGGGATCTTTTTAAAAAAAGCTACATGTGAGTGATTAAAAAGACAAAAAATAGTTAAAAGAACAAAGCAGAGGAAAGCAGACTGGTTCCAGTGGAGCAGAGCTAATGAGAGTTCTGCAACTATAACGGAGATAAAGATGAAGCAAAACAGGAAATTAATTGTTAAGGGACATAAAGCCCAGCTGAGTTTATTAAAGCAGATGCAATGACCAAAAAAAGAAAGCTTCTTTTTTTAATAGATACTGTCTTGTATTAATGCGAGCATGAAGGTTTTGTGTGAGGAAAGTGTCGCTCCTTGGCAGAAATGAATGATATGATAACTGTCGCCGGTGCAGGATGGCTTAATACACTTTAAGGCCTTAATTCTGGATAATTTATTTTAAGACCCTTTTAAGGACCTGCGGATACCCTGGAGGAAACAAGTGTAAGTGGATAGATGGGTAGATGAGATCAGAAAAACAGACCTGCTAATAGAGGAGATTAGACAGCTGGGAAAGCATGAAAACAGATGGGTTCCTGCATTAATACTGCAGGACCAAAAACACAAGAGACATCGAGACAAAGAGATGGACACGAGGCGAGAGAAAACAGGTGGAGAAGCCAGAGCTAAAAGAGAAAGTCTGCTGCAGGAAAGGCGAAAGCACAAGACCTCACCGTTCACTTGTTCTTTCTTTTTTTTTTTTTTTTTGTTACATTTCAATGCTTGATCATCTAATTAATTTTACTATCAGATAAATATAATACAAAATTCAGTTTTAAAATGATGATTTCAGTTATTGCTGAAGAAAAAAGATCTATCCAAACAACCATAGCTGTATGAGATAAAGCAGTTACCTCCTTTGATTAACCAGATTTTTAGAAAGCTGAGTTCAGTTCCCCACCTAAATATTATCACTGTCAGACCCATAAAGTTAAGAAATCATGTAAATTGCTCCTATCTGAGAGCTTAAGATGGGCTGAAAGATCTAAAAGGAATCTGCACGTCATTAAGATAAAATAAAATGAGATAAGATCAGATGAGATATACTTTATTGTCCAGTGAAGCTCACTTCTGAGCTTCACTTCTGTTTGGTAAAACCCCTTGGTAAAACTAATATTACCAAGGGGATATTAGTTTTGCAAGATAAAAGCGTAAATGTACAATACAGTTCATAGGAATACAATTTGGACAGATTACAATGATTTTTATACACCAATTAAAGAATCAATAACTTCAAAAATATCTACACCAGAAAATCACTAACATCTATCAGAGTTGAAAAGATGACAGGGTCATTTTAAGGCTGTTGAACTCTCACCAAACCACGGTGAGCCATCATCTGTGCAGGAAACAAAATATTTAACTGTTATTATTATGCATTATGCCTCGAGTGCATCGACCCCTCAATCAAGAGGTGAGCAACAACTAACGCACTGAACCCATCGCTTCCCTCAGTTAAGATCAGAGTTCATGACTCAAAAGTAGAGCAAAAGTAAAAGTAAATCAGCATCCATGGAAGAGTCCCAGAGTAAAAAATAAAAACATACCTGACCAAAATTAACACAAAAGTCTGAGTCACGTTTACCTAAAAATACTTTGATGCTTTTTAGGAAAATAGTCGATGCACTGATGAGTCAAATGTAGAACATTTTGTGTCCCATTACATCCGGTGTAAAGGTAACACAGCATTTCAGGAAGAAATGGATGTTTGAGACCTGAACATGTTCCTG